ATTGGGATTTCTGTCTGTTCGCCCCTGCGCTGCAACGAACACACCGTGCCTAGCTCGCCTAGACGGTAGGTATGCTCGGATTTGCAATATTGGATTTCGACATCTCGACGAAGTGCAGCTGCAAACCACCCTCACACGATGGACGTCTTCATTCCGCGTGTCCACGTGCAGTCGTCCGGCATGCCTCAAGTGTCAATATCAAATTCAATTCGAGCAATCCTTTTCACTTTGCTACTTTGATTAATTTCCCAACATCTTTTCGTTTGTCTCGAAGAAATTTTCTAAGAAAGTATCTACTTAATTTGCAATTTTTTTTTATCGCAATATTAAGATAAAAATCGCTGTCTTACTATGAATAATTGAAAAATGATTATTTTATTATAGACGATCAAAATCACGTTCAATATTGCTTTACGCATCTCACTAATGTAACATAATCGATCGGTATGTTTATTCTTTTACACCAATTCATCATGCTATACTGTTACTCCAATGCTTAGGAACGCTAAATGTAGATTAATCGATCGCATTAATGTGCACTCGGTCGCCGTGCTATGAAGAGATCAGTAAACTGATGCTAATAACTATCGCGTATCGGTAGATACGCGACGAGAGGTGAGTATAACCGGCGGAAGTCTCGTAATGTTATCACATTTCCGGAACTGGGTAACGAATCCAGGTCATGCAAGACGGAGAGGCAGAAGAATTCATCGTCGGGTGAGTATAAGTGGATTGCGTACGTACGGTACGAGCAACGGAATACACGGGGGTGACCTTTGCCAATTCGGTTGTTGCAGGTGCATCCACGTTGCAAATGCGCGAGGCGAGGAGAGAATCCATAGGCAGAACGAGCGGAGAGAGCGAGATAGGAGGACGGGAGAGAGCGAGGAGTCGGCGGAGTAGAGACCTGGCAAGATAGAGGAGCCGGTGGGAGGATGGCGGTTAGAATTTATGGCCGCTTTATCACTTTACCGGCCTTGCCGCGTCTCCTTTAGCTGTGAGGAGGGCAGGATCTCACGATGAACTTTGGCACTCGACTACGTTGCACTCGACGAGCGGTGAGCCCGTTAACTTTCTTGTTTACTCGCATTTCGCGAGAGATTACAAGTACACCTGTTTTCTCTCTCTCTCTCTCCTTCTCTTTCCCTCCTCTCTCTCTCTCTCTCTCTCTCTCTCTCTTTCTCTCTCTTTCTTTCTTTCTCTCTTCCTGCTTTTCGTCTTTTCAAATTTAACGCAATATCTCGTTGCATAAAACGTGTCCAATTATCTGAGAAGCAAGTTAGTAGAAAAACAAGAAATATTTTGATCCAAAGCATTATTTTATAAAATATATTTTTATATAACTTACAATTAGAATGATATGCGAATTCTCGAAATACGACTATTGAAATTTATCGAATAAATTAAGAATCTTTTCATGATGCAAAATGTCTGAAAAAAAAAAATTTAATACAATCTTGACGCGCATTTAAAGAGCCATATTTCTCGGCGAAGCAAAACTATTAATATCCAGATAATGAAGTTTCAAATCGTGCGAATTAATATGCAATTGCATGCATTTACAAAGATGGTAGGATAGAAGGAGGAGAGATAAGACTGCGTACCTTCCAGTCTGGCCGCTATCCCTACGCTTTCGCCGGTCTAAATTTATGTCTTTATATACTCGGTGCGTGCGCTAGCTCCTTGGCTGCTCGCATGCTTCATTATACTTATGGCCATTTAATGGTCGGATTTTAATTCACTTGGTCCACCCGGAGGGAATTGTTCCGGCGGGCTAACGGGAAAAGTGGCGCCGGCCGAATCCACAAATATCTAGTGTAAACACATTAATAACGGGTCTCACAAGCTAACTTATTGCATACACGGACGCTCCGTGCGGGGCATCGTAAAATTTACGTCATACTACCTGTCGGCATGACGACTACAACTACATAACGCATAAAGTAACCCCCATTAATAGACCATAAATTCTATCCCCGCAGCACCGTTGTTATGTATGAGCGTCGTTAGTGTTAATAGAGTGTTAACGGCTCCTATGCCGCTCTCGATTCTGTCCAGGACGTAGGTGACGGAGTTGGTGATGTAGGTAGAAGCTTGACAGGGGAGAGGAGAGAGAATGGTAAGCGGTTGCCATAGAGGAATTCTGGTTGCGTGCTGCCTGGCTACTATTAGCATCGTGCTTCTGCTATTTTGCATAGAGAATGCATCAATTTTCGGCGCTTCCCGCTCGCCGAACCCCCCACTATTGCCACCTTCGACGATTTTGTCTCCTCACCGCGCTCCGCCCGGCCATCCCCACGCGATTTCCGCCACGCGGTCATCCGGTACAATCCTCGTACACGCTGCTCCGTATAATGTAAATCGTATCGAAGATAATTGATATCGCGAACGCCTACTTCCCTGGAAATGCACGTTCACGATCAACGCTCGCCTGTCCCGATTGTTGCCGCGACGTTCGTTTCCCGTTGATGATCGGCTTCGATTTGCGCGATAGAGATGTCCGATAATGTGGACAATTACCAGGAGTTTACGGAGGATTAAGCGTCCGTATTTTAGGGCTGTTGAGTTCAAATGGCTTTATAAAGCGGACGAACAAATAATGAATAATAATCTCTCACACTTTTTATTTGCACATTAGATTATTTCATGCTATGTATTTAATAATAATAATTAGCAAAATTTTGCATTCTATTGTATATCTTTTCATGTAGTTCTGTCAAGAATTGACGAAAACATTTTTTAATGAATTTTAGATATGATAAAGCATAATATTGTAATTAATTATTTTAGTTAGTTCTCACGTCGTATCAAAATTCTAGAATTCTATGTAAAAAAATGTACTATATTTGCAATAATTTGGAAGATTGTTGATTATAATCCACTCTCAGGTGCAAACAATATTGTGCTTTGGGTGGATCATTGTATGCTGCGGAGGAGACCGTTGGATACATAACGTATAACGGGACATAAATCAATAATATCGCTACCCCCTCTCCTTTCTTCTCTCCCTGGGATACGCTCACTATCCCCGAACACCGTTACTGCTCTGCAAACCGCCAAGCGAAGCCAGCGTCTCTTCCGCAATCAATGTTCATGTCTAAAACATCACAAACAATACTTGATCTTTAATATTCGATGATTGTGCCATTGAAACATTTATTAACAGCTTCGTAATTTGGTTAACTCAATTTATCGATTTATTTTAGCCAAGTAATGCACGCTCGTGAACTATTTAGGGGTTGAAACGCTTGATACTTCTTTGAATAATACAATAGTGAAACTTTATGTATATTCAATTTATATCGTATGTTCTCCAAATTTTATCTACGAAAAAGATTTTAAATTATAAAATATTCAACATAAGTGAATGACAATTAACTAATTTTATTATTTTACATGAATGGGATATTTTTGCCAACAAAACCGCTACTAATCCATAAATTCGCGAATTCAAACAGAGATGTAGGACTCCTAATCGGATTCATATCGTTTTTTTTTTTCGTGGCTTCAAGGAGATACGACTTGACGTTTGTCAAAGCATTAATGCGAATTTATTTCGCGCGGGGCACATTTCCGCGTGTTTTAGGAAGTTTGGGTGCGGACGTGTCGCCGATATAGAAAGGCTAAATGCAAAACCTTGTAAGGGGAGAGACTCCGCGTGCTCCGAGAAACTAACAAAACATCCTCGCAATTAGCCGGATGTCCCGATGACATCAACGGGCCATCCCACGGGACCGCCAACCGTGCTACGTAGCCTCGCGACAGAAATTTCGCCGTTGCGCCACTCTGCCGACTTCGGTCCCCTACCGGCTCTCTACCAGCCGTGTTGCTCCTACCGAGCGGCCGTCCGCGGTCTCTCAACGGGATTCTAGGTGACGACGACGCGCTTTCCGTGCTACAGAGATATGCTAAATAATAAAAACTCATCGGATTTATGTCGTCCAGAATTGGACGCGGGCGGCGTGGACGAGGCACGCGGCAGCAGCAGAGGTGCTCGTCGAATGAAATTGAAAAGTAGCAGGGAGATATGGCTCCGACCGACGAATATCGGTAGACAGACGAATGGCGTGGGAATGAGCAAGGGGTTGGAACGAGTAAACGGGACATGAAAAACTGCCGCGCGAGAGCTGATAGACTGAAAAGTGTTTGTTCGACGGACGGACGTTTTTTAAAATCTTTCGCTATCCTTTTTCACTCGAGGTCATTGGGATGCATTGTACGCGAGATTGGCGCAAATACGTTCGCCTCATTGTTCCCTGTTAAAAATATCGCGACCTCGTGGATTCAATAAACTTTCACGAAGACGAGGGTGACGTAAATAGTATTGCCTGGTGCTACATCAAACAAATTGAAAAGATTCTGCTTATACTTTTTTTTTTTTTACATGACATCAATACTACTACAGAGTTTATTCATCATACTCTTACGTTTTTCTAATTATTATATTTTTTTGCATTAATTTATTGTACAAGCGGTGTTTGTTGCATATTCATTGTTTTTTTAATCTTTCGATTATTTGTATAATTAATATATATAATTAGAATTTAGGTTGGAAATTATATAATAATAATAAAATATTTTTTTCTTGTTTCAGATGCAATTAGATATCTATCAAGTACTATCATGGATCTTCAATGGATATTATATCGAATTGCCTGACGAAGTGGACCCTTTCATCGCATACAACATTATATGAATAAATCAACACAATGACAATCTACTAATTGAATGGATCTACTGATTAAATCGATGATGATTCAAAAAAATCGAAGAAAATATAAAACTCAAGAAATAAGGAATTAATAATTTGTATCGGACACAAGAAGAGTTAACCAATTTTGGTGCAATCGTCAAATGGAGTTGACGTGAATTGCAGAAAAATGTAATTACAACCAAAATCGGCATCATTACAAGAATGAAGAATTTATACAAAATAATTAAAAATGAAAAAATGCATGAATATTATATATTATCAAAAAACCAACAATACACAACAAAATCATTCAAGTGTTAAGCCAGATAACGTCATAAATGTGATGCGTATCGATAGTGAATCCAGTCGGGGACTAGAATGAGAATCGGTCATCGAACAATACCATAATTAAACAACAAACTATGCTTCTTTACTTGGACTACCATTCGAAACCGGCGCCTTTTCAAGAAGACCGGCAACCATTAAACTACCCCCGTGACATTCGAGGTGGAGTATGATGGTTCCATCGAGTAGGTAGTGCCTAGACGGAGCTCCACCCAGCACTTAGTTTACGTCGCGATTGCGGCCCCGGGTACGGCCGTTTCCAGGGTACAGTCACGCCCCTGCCATGCGAGTACTGTACTCCCATTCGCTGGGCCATATCTCATCTGGTCCATCGCATTAGCCTAATCTGCCAGCAACGTGAACGAAGAAAAAAAAAATACGGCCATCGACGTTGCCACTGACGAGAGAAATCGCGGCGAGGTGCTGCCACCTCCGTAGTAGGATCGAAAAGTTGACCGGTTATTGAATCGATTTTTTCCCACAAGCAACGTCGTCCCGCTCTCATTTTGGCCAGTAGTTCGATTTAATTGTTCGTGTATTGTTAATATTTATTACGTCAGCTTGTAATTTGCTACCATGTCTGTTCGCGTCGGCCAGAAACGAGAATTTCTTCTGTTTGATCGCTTGGTTCGCTGTAAGGATGATCGGAATGATGGGTAAGAAGATGTTATATGCTTTAATAATAAATTTAGATATCATAGATTAAGTTCTACATCCAATTTCTGTTGTACATTAATCATAAATCATGAAGCGTTCAGATGTAATAACCATTTGTTCTAATAATATTATCTATTTTGAAATTTGTTTTAAATTATAATTGTCTTTCTTGACTGAATTTAAAATCGCAACAATTTTAGTCAAAAATAACTAATAAATGCGTAAATAACTAGTAAACTGAAAAGGTTGATAATGATATAATCGAATTTCTTATTTAATTAGCGTTTGCTGTTACAGTTTGTTTCTATCGTCGGATGCAGTTCGCCTAGTTCATGATGTCCAATTGCTCGAATGATGTCGCAAATTCTAGACAAGTGCTGTGGAACTAATGGTAAGTAATCTGATGCATGTGAACAAAATTATAACAATGAAATGGCGATAATATAAATTTTTCTCGCACTCATGATGATAAGCATTGTGTTTTGTAGTAATTTGTTTGAAACAAATTTGCCACAAAACTATACACTAATATTATGTTCACTATCGGTTTAGAAACTAAATTGGGATACGAGATGCAACATAAAAATAATGAGATTAATTTTCTAAATAATGATTTATTACTTAATTGTTTTAATCATTATAGTTGCTTTTAAAAGAACGATTTTCGAAAGCAATGCATTTGCGTCAACGCGTCTCACAATACGTAGGAATAAAAGTCATTTTTTGTTAGCTTTATTGTAACATCTACTACGACTCTGAACGTTCGAAATAGATAAGTAATCTTTTCAATTTTTATTTCGGAAACAAAAAGGAATGTCACATAAATCTGGGAAATAGGGATGCTGCGGAAAAACCAGAACACTTTTTTAGCTAAAAATTCATGAATGAAAGACGCCGAATAAGCAAGAGCGTCGCTATGATAACAGATCCAATTTTCTATAATTTCCGGATGGACTAGCTATCGTAGTCGTTCGAGACTATCTCTGTAGTACCATTAATTTACTGTTTATTCATTTAATACACGATTCTTATGAATAATTTTTGTTATTCGGTATTTGTTTCTATTTTCTAAATGTAATAACAACGTAGAATTACAATAAAACTATGCGATTATACGTTATGACGAGGTTAAAACTTGTACTAAAAGTAGGAATATATCGCCTTAGTTGCATGTTTCTTATATGATCAATCTGAAAGTAAGAAAATTAATTATTTTATTATGCTACATCTTGTATATTAATTTACTTGTACTAATGAATATTATCGGTTCTGAGATCTTAATAATCTCAATCTAATCGATATTGTTTATCGCGCGAATAAAGTGCGATACGCAAATATATCGCGAGTATGGAAATTCAGGAAAGTTTGTGGTCGGACTTTCGACATTGCTCTACAATTTGTCATATGGTTACCCGGTTTCACTAAACGGTAGAGTCATATTATAGTAAGATCGTACATGCTGTACAATCTTGTTTCGTTTCCCTCACCGCCTTATTTAAGTTTGTGCGGATATATTACAAGGCATAAATTTTCGTTTCATTTAAAAATACGTGACGCAAAGTCAGAAATCTGGTGCCCGCAGAGACGTACTGTGCAGGCTATATTCTGTGAAGAAAAAAGCCAGATGTCAGCGTGGTACGCGGGTAGGTCGAATATTGCGCCGATTTTCGGGCACGATAAATTGCTCTAGTTTCCGAAAGAAAACCGCAAACACATGTGTGCATATGCGCGGCACGCTGAAAGTTTTCTTTATTGCGGAAATGCTCCCGCGGCATTGCTGCCGAGGTTGAAAATCTGACCTTGCGAAACGTGCAGGTAGAAATTTCCTTACACATGCTAACGTTAGAAAATTGCATAAGTTGTATCGTCCGATCTCGATAATTCAACAAAATGATGTGATTATGTCTGAAACTTTGTAGATAGTGTTTTCTTTATATTTTCATTTATCTAAATGTTGTGTTGTTTTCGTAAATTATGTGAGCAAATCACCTCAAAACGTTAAAATATTATTTTAACACGTAATATTTGCGGTGTCTCCTTTGAAAATTTTTAACTGCTTCTTTTTACGACTTTAAACCTATCTAAATTTATCTAAAATTAATTTGATTTTAATTAAAGTTGCATTTTTCATAAAGTAGACTTTCAATACTTTTTTACGCAACTTTATTACATCTCGTATATGTGTAATAAAAACAAAATATAAAAAATTGGTAGGTAGGAAACATTATCTTATGAATGTATGCAAATTTCTTTTATCCTTCAGCGATTTTTCGAGATTCTCGAAAATCGAGAAAGCGATTACATTATTTTCAGTTATATAAGTATTGCATCATGGAATAAAAATGAAGATATTTCTTTATAAATATTATTTCGACAAGATTGAAAGAGTTTTCTTCAATTTTGCAAATTATTTTATTCGTTGCGATAATAATTTGACCAAAATGACATTATCAAATATAAGATATCAATCATATATTTGCTCTCGATCTGCTAAACGATTCGCTTATGCTTGAAGGAATCGTCGGACTTCATTGTTCCATGATTGAGTTAATAGCGTCGGCATACGTAACACCTGTTCTAACAGTGATTTTCTTGTCGTATGCATAAGAAAAGCAGATGATTAATGACACCTTAATGACTACACCATTTTGACTGAACCATTTTGAAGCACGACTGTCTGCTAAAATATAACTCAATTCCATGTGATGGATATTGGTGCTTTTACATCTCGTGGAACTTTATCTACGTGATATGTAATATATTGTAGATTGGAAAACCCATTTTCATAAACGCTAATAAATCATTCCATCTCGAGTAAATCTAATACTTGTATAATGAAATCATCTAGCAGTTTAATCGTGATATTAGAAAATAGATCACATGGTAATCGGAGATACGTGCGTTTATATGATCAAAGTTAGAATATTCATGATAGTGTTGCCATAATCAAGATATTTAAGTAGATGTTATTACGCTAAAAATTAAAAAAAAAAAATAATTTTCATGTCCTCATCTAAATTTAATTATTTGTGGTATCAACGTGCACTTAAAAAGAAAAAATTCGAATTTTTTAAAGTTAACTATTATTCATGTTGTAAAAGAGAAACATATCGTATTCCAGCACTCTTAGGAAGCTTTAATGAATACTTCAGAAAACTGCTTTGCGATTACGGTATATTGCGTGCCTAATCATATACGTGATATGTAATCAGATAACATGGTTTATAGGCAATCTTACACTCCCCCCTCATTTATGTTCCAATTTTTGCGCGTATGATCTCGCCATTAGGTTCATCTTTAAGAGATTTTGCTTTTTAGAAATGTAGTATAAATTGTCTTCTCAATTATAGGTAAATTATAACAATTTTATTAGGCAATAAGAGCATTAATCGGTCGATTGTATCCGTCGCGCGGAAATCACATCCTAGTAAAATTATGGAAAAAATTCTATTTTTTAATTGAATTTAAATTTTCGCATATTGTAATTTTAATAGGATATTAGCTATAAAAAATCTCGTTATTTAGACATTGTTTATTGTTATAATAAAAATTTCTATTCTGTAATTGAACTTCGGGTATTGTTTTTCTCTCTTTACGATTGCTATATGGGATAGTTTCATGGACTCACGAAAGCCCTAAAAGCACCGTAGAGTGGTAGGTGGTTTGATCGAGTGTGAAATCGAGATAGAAACTTGGAAAGTTACTGAATCGAATTATCTTGTGTCTGAAATTCATTGAAGCCTTCGTAAGGTTGGCTGTAAAAGGGAAACAATGAAGCTCTCATTAGTAATTAACGAAATGTCTGATAAATATAGTGCAAAATCAGATCGCAATTTATGTGTGTGTGCGCGCGCATTTCTAATTATTAAAATACCGAGCAAGCTCGATAGCATTTGGAGAACGATTTCTATAGAAAGCGCCCGGGCTGTAATTAATATATTATTTTAATTATACAATTTTCATTATAATTAAAATATTATGAAGAAAAATTTTCGTCGCGGCTCACATATTTCTCACTAAAAATTTTTGCGTCTTAAATTACGAAATTATAAGTTTTCTCCGGAGAAAGGCACTCGAAACATCGTCGAATAAAATATTTTGCGCCAATCATTAATAATGCGTACGTTTTATATTATTAATGCATATTTTGCATACATGAAGTGCAGTTTATAATTCTAGTTGCAAGATATTGATACTTTTATAATAAATTCTTGAATTTTGAAGAATTGATGAATAGTAGAAACGAATGAGAGAACGAGAGGCTGTAGAATTTCGGTAAAATGGTATTGATTAAGCTGTAATCATTATTGCCTCTTGTTAAGAATAATTTCTTCTTCTTGTGATGTTTCGTATGATAGATCAGTTTCGTATGATTAATCCGTTTATTCATGTCTCGATCTTCCTGTGCCCCTTCCGCAACCATTAATCAGCGTTTAGCGAAAGTACAGGGATATTGTGTAACTTTGATCGTCTCGTTTACTTTCTTCTACTGCTATTCGATCGGTATTTCGTTGAAGGATAAATTTAACCGTGATTGAATTCTTGCGCAGCACATTACCCAATGAAATACTTATATTCTCCATCATTTCATTGTACATACATTGTATATTTTGCAAGGATTCTTTCATGACACTTGAATCATTGAATGTCTATATTTTCATGTTGTACATTAATCTTGCGAGACATTATTCGCAATAAAAAATTGGTAATAATTTTTTAAAGTGTAATATTTTAATTTAAAATTTTTTAAAATATCAGATTTAATGTGAAAGTCTTTGTTTGAAAAATAACCCGAAAGAAAATGTTATTATTTTATCTTATTGCTAAATATGAAAGTTCAATCATAATACTTTCTAACGTGATCTTCCAAATAATTCAATTTTAAACTGCATTATTTTTCTGAATTAAAAATTGAACGCATTATGTTTTTTTCAATATACCAATTTAGCAATGTTAATAATTCTTTTTATGTTTATTTAATTGTGCATATTAAAATGCTGAATGATTAAGTTATACTGGCAAATATATAGCAGCGACTGTAGTATGATTAATAGAAGATCAGTTTAAGACAAAATTTATGCACGATCTTTTACCTGCTGGATATACGAAAGCTACTGCGGACAAATAAAATCCACTCGCATTCCTTGACGATGAATTTAATTCGTGATACGCACAGAAGGGAACGAGATTTGATTCGCAGGGAACAGAATGGGTCACCATGATGTTCGCATCAGCTTGAAATGATAAAGCGCTACACCGAGCTTACATTTTTGGTGGCGAACCATCAAGCAAATGAACAATTCTAATATTGTATATGATATTCATTTTTATAATATCTGTCGGCGCAGCGAAACGTAACGTAATATAGAGATGACAATTGGCATTAGTAAA